TTGCTTCACTGGCCCAAGATGGCACCATCATTGCGCTCTTCCCGGGCGAGGCAGATCGGTCGCCGGCTTCTGGACAGCCGCTTACGGTGCCTTGAGGGCCATTCAAGCTGGCTGCTGGCTACACACGGTAGCCCATGGCAACCCACTGCAGCAGGGGCTGCAGCCTATGCTGTCGCCGGCTACTCACGGCGGCCCAGCTCCAGGTTGAGCTGTTGTTCAGCATCTTAGCTGTAGAGGGCAGTGTCACTGGCCCTCATATGTGGGATCCGAACCGGGGCCCTCTGGCGTCCCAAGCCAGTTTTTAAACAATGTGCCACTCGGCTGGCCCCATATCTTTCCATTTTGTTTATTTTCTTCATCCCTCCTTCTTTTCTTTCTTGAAACTTTAGAAACTGGGTGGCCCTACCACAAAAACCCTTAGCAAATTAAATGAAAAATATTTCAAGACATCAAGTTTGTGAGAGAGGGTGGGGGAAGAATTAATACATATTGGAAAGTTGCTGAGCAACAGCAAAGCAAAAACCGAAGCGCAAACCCCCAGAAGTTTGCAGAAACAGACGTTAATGAACAGAATCAATTATAGCCAACTCCAGTCAACAACACCCGTTCAAAGTCATTCTAATACATACATCAACAGTCCAAATTTGGACCTGCCAAGTCTAGTTTCCTGTTTCGTTTCTCTGGTCTCTTAACCTAAATAGACAAAATGCTTTGTTGTAATACTGTTGCAACCTAGATATATTCCAAATACCATTGGCAAAGCAGAATAAAACCACTCATGCCCCCCACACATAAAACACACACACACACACACACACACACACACACACACACACACACACATGCATGTGCATTTTGGTGTTTTGCAAGTTGTAGATTGCCATGAGTTCAAATAAAGTATGCAACAAAACTGAAATTTATCATCAAATACAGTATTTAACAACGCCTCACGGGAAAATGACTTTTAAATATGATGGTCTAAAACAGAGGTTGGCACAGTATGGACTGTGATATAAATCCAGCTCACCGCCTGTGAAACCCGAATGGCTTAATGAATTAACATTTACAATCAATTTGATGATAGAGAACATTAACTTTAAACTACAATTAAGTGAAATGTCTCCTCCCCCAAAAATTCAATTTTTCTCATCATTAGACTTCCATTATAAGAAAAATTAATCAATGATTATTATTATATTTTGAACTATGTCAGTAAAAATTTTGTGGAAAATGTTTTTCTCTCTTACAGTAAGTATCTCATAGTATCCTCAACTTCACCTCTGAACCTACAAAGCCTAAAATATTTACTATCTGGTTCTTATCAGAGAAAATTTGCTGATACCTGGCCTCAAACTATCTGATCTATAAAATTGTTTTGGCCCCATCTATATCTAGCTTTTATAATATATGTATGAATATATGCATTTAGAGTATATAACATAACTATTTACATAAAAGATTTACAACTACCTCCTAATGCTTCCTAAATCGCTACCAGGAAAAGACCACAATAATCACCCCCGAAAATAGATTCCTATGCAGAGCTCACGATAATGGATGGTGTTTATCTCACCTCAGAATAAAATGAAAAGGAGGTACTGATTTTACCCAGTATTTGTTTGAGAATTAGAATGCCCCATGCTACAGGGAGTAGACAAGAAAACTCATTTATACATTAATTGTGTTAAATGGCACACTATCTGGAAAGCAATTTGGAAATAGATAACAAAAGCCATTAAAATATTTATACACTGTGATACAGCAAATCCATGTTTGTAAGTCCCAAAATTTGAAATATACACACACATAAAGATGTTCAATAAACTGTTACTTACAATAGTGACCTGCCTCTACCTTTTTTTTTTTCTTTTAACAGCCTTACCACTCACCAAATTATAGAAGTGAGCAATCTTGGCACTATCCTTTCCCTCACAACAGAGCCAATAATTCTTTCCCCTTGGTCTTCCCATCTTTTTCTTCTTCATCTCTACAACTGCTATCTTGGTTTAAGAACCTGCCGTTTCTCTTCTGGATTGCTGCAATATTGTCTGGGGGCTGCAATGTGAGGCCTAAGCTTATACAATATCCAGGCCCTTTTAAAGAAAAAGAAGATAAAATTGTGAAACCAAAATATGTGTCACCAAAGCCAACATTAAGAATAGCAAAACAGAGGGGTAGTAATACAGAAAGTACTCACAACTAATTGAAGTGAAAAACTCATATATTTTGCAAATTTTATCAAAACATGTGACCAGCAGAATACATTTTAGAATCCCTCCCAGAATACTGCTAGAGGAGCATGCAAGCCAAGCACCATTTATTTCAGCTTCTCACCAAACCTTAGTGCTTCAGGTCTGTAATTTCTCAGCCAGCCATCCAATCCTATTGCTCAAGATTCATTTTTCTAAAATGAAATTCTAAACATATCCTCTCCCTACCTGAAAACTTTTCTTGCCAATAGAATACCTAGCACTAACATCCATGATATTATCTCCACTGCTTCTCCAACCTCACTCTCTATTGGTCCACACAAGCTCCATTACTGACAGTTCCTGTAGGATGTTATTTCAGTCCTCCCATACCTTAGCAGATGTTCTTTCCTCAAACTAAAATGTATTTTCTTCTCTTTTCTGGCTAACCAATTTCTGCTCCGGTTTCTATCCCAACCTACCTGTCAAAGCTTTTCCAGACCTGACAATAGAGCTCACATCTAGTTCTCTGGCCCACAATCCTCTGGTATTGGACTGATCACCTATTCCGTCTGTTTCCCTGATAAAGTAAATGCTCCTTCAGAACAGAAACTCTGTCTTAGCCATTCTTAGTGCCCAAGTGTCTGAACAAATGAATAAAAAAGGAAGAGAAGCAAATATATCAGTTACTTGTTTTGTTTTTGCTTATTGATAGTGTTAGCAATTTTTTCCCTTATTTAAAAGCATTTTTTTGTTAAGTGGCTATATGTGTTTTATAATGGGATGTCTAATTTACAATAAAATATTTCTTTAAAGCTCATTCTAATTTTCATTACATCTGCTATCTAATTCTCAAATCTCTGCACACCTGTGCCAGGCTTATTTACATGGCCAACAGTCTACTTTACATGAAATCATGTTTAGATTCCTGTACACAATTAGGTAAATAAATATCATTATTGCAATTTGATTAAAGGGTGTTTTTCTTAAATATTTCTCAGTATACATATTTCTCAGTAAGTGAGCAACTATTAGAGTTTTGTCGAGAAAAACTGTATGATGAACTTATTTCTGTAGGTGTATATTCAGGCACTAGCTGAAAGAAATTATATATATACACACACACACACACACACACACACACACAAACACATACACACACACACATATACATTTTGCCGTCAGGCATAAAACAGTGATGAATACTATAAGACTCAAATTATGTTCATACACACAAAGCCACTTTTCCGAATCACTATTATAATTCCTATCTCCCACCTAGGATGCAATAAAGAATTGTTTCAAAAAGGACAATATCCAAAATAATCTGATAATTCTCCTGAATATAATCCTCACTGAAGCTGAACATATTTTATCTTTTTTAGTAAAGCTATCATAGTCATTATCCAGGAAATGCCTGCAGGGACTCTATAGCAGAGATTCCCCCCCCCCTTTTTCTTCTGCATGATTTAAACGTGTTGTTTTAGTACACATTCTAAATATGCCCTACGTGAAGCAGACCACATACACATGGCATATTTATATATGAATACAGGTCAAGAGCACCAAAATGTAAATTACCGGACATAGGAATAACACCACCAAACTCAAGCTGACACCATCTTAGTAGCTTTAGGGCCATTTGAATCCTGGTGTAATCTACACCTCTAGTTCAGGTATAAATTCATTTTGTAGCCTATGGTATGATGGTATTAGCTGGAGCTCTCCCCAAACATGTTCCCGTTTCTCCTTTGTGTAAGGAAAGCTTTTTGAGTTCATGAGTGCCACCATCTTATGTCTGAGTAAGAGTTCCTTTCCGAAATGGATCCTTGCCTCACCCAGCCTTGGTTTGGTTGTTGAAAAGAAAGCCACACTCTCCTCATTGCACAGGACTGCATGCAGGGGTCGCCTGAGATAAAGCGTAGTACAGCAGAAAGAACACAGCGCTAGGGTCACAGAGTGATGGTGTGGAATCCCTGCAATGGCGTTTCAAGATCTGTGTGACAGTGAAGCCATGGAGCCTCTGAACCGTGTGTCCCCAGCACCACCATCAAAAAAAAAAATTTCATATGTTGAAGTCCTTACACCCAGCATCTCAGAATGTAATATTTGAAAACAGGGTTGTTGCAGGTATAATTAGCTAAGAGGAGGTCATTAGTTTGAGCCTTAACCCAGTATGACTGTTGTCCTTACACAAAAGGGAAATTTGGACCTAGAGACAGACACTCACAGAGGAAAGATGATGTAAGCACACAGGGGGAAAATGCCATCTACAAGTCAAGGAAAAGGGCTGGAACAGATTCTTCCCTCATAGCCCTCAGAAAGAACCAAGCATGTTGACACCTTGAATTCAGACTTCTATACTCCAGGTCTGTGTGACAATATATTTCTGTTTAAGACACGCTGTTTTTGGTACTTTGTTACGGCAGCTGTGGCAAACCAACATACCTGGTTTCCTCAAATGTCAAATGCTTACTATAAAGGATTCAGTGCCATCATAAAGATTTTTAAAAATCACACTGTAGATACTCAAAAGAGGACAGGCAATATTTTTTATCACATGGGGTATAATATTTGAAGTATTTTATTTCATTTCCTCGAATCGTGTGTCTTTCCCCATTGGGTCAGCCAAGGACCAGATGCATCACCCCTCAGAAGTTTCGTACCTCATAAACTCACCAAGAACTTAAACACAATCTCAGAGTGTTGCCACAAGGTTAAAGGAGGAATCTAAATATAAGGTAGATTTAGCTACAGAAGAATCAAGACAGTTCCATTTCTTGCACACTCAGCGTCTAGACAGAGACATACCTGCCACATGCGGGAAAGCCTGTCCAAGACTTCTAAGGATCCTCGCGAAGTGTGCCTTTACACTGTGGGCTGATTAAAAAGCCTAGAAGAAAATAAGAGCTAAGTTATTTAGAGGCATGTGGAGCCAAGGTTGACTCTTGCACACATTAATTATTTGGGGAAATCCAGTGGATTGTGATAAGCTGAGCATGAATACAGGACATGTACAGTGCTACAGAACCCTTCAATTCCACCCAGACAGATTCAGAGCCAATAGCAGAAGACAAGAAAATAGAGCAAATCAGTTTTTGAAATCAAATGCTCCAAATACTAGAACACATGGAAAAGAGGAGGCACAGTAGGAAATTTAAGGTTCCTATAAGAACTTAGAACTTTAAAAAATACCAAATCGGTTTCTAATGAGAAGAAAAATAAATCCAGGTAGGAGACGAGACTGACAGTAGCGCTACTTTAGACAGACTGTTCAAGGGAAAACTTCTCTGAGAAGGGGACATTGAAGCAGAGACCAGGATGAAAGGAGAAAGCCAGAGGGGGAAGAGCCTTCCAGGTGGAGGGAACGGCAAGTACAGCTGTCCCCTCATTCGAGATTTTACTTCCCATTGTTTCAGTTACCGGAGGTCAACCGCAGTGTGAAAATATTAAATGAAAATTTTCAGAAACAAACAATTCATAAGTTTTAAATTGCATGCTGTTCTGGGTACCTCACTTCATCTCATCGCTTATGTATCATCTATCATCACAAAAGGGCGTGTCCAGTACAAGAAGATATCTTGAGACAGAGTTATATTCATAGAACCTTTCTTACACCATATCATAAGTTGTTCTATTTTATTATTAGCTTTTGTTGTTAACCTCTTACCATGCCTAATTTATAAATGAAACTTTATCACAGGTTCATATGTATAAAAATTCCCAGCATATATAGGGTTTGGTATTACCCGTGGTTTCAGGCATTCATTGGGCATGTTGGAACATTATACACCCACAGATAATGCGGGTCTACTGTGCCAAGACCGTGTGGTGAGAGCTTGCTAGACATGTCCAGGAACAGCAAAAAGGCCACTGCGGCTGCATGCAGCATGCTGAGAGCGAGAGAGAGCGGGAGAAAGCGAGAGAGCAAGAGAGCGAGCGAGCGAGAGCGAAGCAGGAAATGAAGGAGGTTGGAAAGGGCCAAGGGAACGCTTTGGATTTTAACCTAAAATCAATTAAAGGGTTGTCTTCTTTTTTAAGCAAGCATTTTTGTTTCAAATCATTGTAGATTTACATGCATTGATAAGAAATAATACAGAGACCCTGTGTATTCTTTCCCCAAAGGTAGCAACTTGCAAAGCTATAGTAAAATATCAAAACCAAGACAATTACATCCATAGAGTCAACATACGGAACATTTCCGTCATCATAGGAATCCCTCAGGTTGCCTTTTTATAGCGACACACATTTCTCCTCTCACCCCACTTCCTCCTTAAAACCTGGAAGCCATTCATCAATTCACAATATCTCCACTTTTGTCATTTCAAGTATATAAATTAAATCATCAACTCCATGTAAGTATCTAGAGATTCATCCAGGTTGGTGTGTCTATCAATAGCTCGTTCATTTTTATTGCTGAGTAGTGTTTTATGGCATGAATCGTCTAATCATTCACTCATTGCAGGACACTGCATCATTTCCAGTTTGGGGTTATTATGAATAAAGCTGCTGTAAACATTTATACAGGTTTTTGTGTGAGTATAAGTTTTCCTTTCTCTGGGATAAATGCCCAGGGGTGCACTTGCAGGATTGTACAGTCGATGTATGTTAAGTTTTCTTTAAAAACCTGCCAAACTGTTTTGCAGAATAGCTGTACCATTTTACATCCTCACCAGCAATGCATGAGTGAGACAGTTTCTATGCACACTTGCCAGTTTGCTGATGTCATTATTTTTTATTTTAGCTATTCTCTTTTTCTCTAATAATTAATGATCATGCATATCTTCTCAGGTGCTTGTTATCTATATATCTTCTCCCAGAAAATGTTTCTTCATGTTTTTGTCCATTTTCTAATTGAATTATTTATTTTTTACTATAGTTTTGAAAGTTTAGATTCTTAACACTAGTCTTCTGTCAGATATATAGCTTGCAAATATTTTCTCCTAGTCTGTATCTTTTTATCCTCCCAATTTTTAAAAAATTTTTGATAAAGTTTTTAATTTTGATAAAGTCTAATTTATCAATGTTTTTCCTTTTATGGATCATACTTTTGGTATAATGTCTAGAAACGCTCTGCCTAACCCAAGATCCTGAAGATTTTCTATTTTTTCCATAAAAGTTTTATAGTTTTAAGTTTTACATTTAATTTCATTATATATTTTGAGTTAAGTTTTGTAAAAGTAAGACTTAGGAAAAGCTTCATTTTGCCTATGGATGTCCATTTGTTCCAACATCATTGGAAACCATCTGCATCTTTGTCAGAATCAGTTGGATATATTTGTGTGGGTCAATTTCTGGGTTCTCTATTCTATTCCATTGGTATATGAGTCAATCCCTCTGCCAATATCACATGGTCTTGATTAATGTAGCTATATAATAAATCTTAAAATTGGGTAGTTTAATTCCTCTCACTTTATTCAACTATTTGGATTCCTTTCCCTTTCTATATAAATTTTAGAATAATCTTGCCTATATCTACAAAAAAATCTTGCTGGAATTTTGATAGAAGTTGTGTTAAACCTGTATGTCAGTTTGGGGAGAACTGACATCTTTGCTATGGTGAGTCTTCCAGTCCATGAATATGATATATATCATATCTTCTATAATACATATATATATATATATACATAATCCATCAGTATTATGTGGGTTTTGGCATGCAAGTCCTATAAATGTTTTATTAGATTTATACCTAAGTATTTAATTTTTTTTAGTGATTATAAATGGTATCATATATATTTTTCATTTTGGTGTCCAGTTGTTTATTGCTATTATATAAGAATATAATTAATTTTTGTATGTTTATCTTGTATCCTACTATTTCTCTGTACTCACTAGTTTGGGGAGTTTTTTTTTTTTTCTTTTTTAAGTTTCTTGGGATTTTCTACATAAATAATCATGTCACTTACAAATAGGAACAGTTTGATTTCTTCCTTTCTTATCTTTATGCTTTTAATTAATTTTTCTTATCTTTTGCACTGACTAGACATTTTAGCACTATATTGAATAAGAGTGTTGAGTGCAGACATTCTTGGCCTTGTTCTTGATCTGAGAGGAAAGAATTCAGTCTTTCATCATTAAAAGTAATGACAGTTGTAGATTTTTATTTTTTATAGAGACTCCCTGTCAAGCTGAGAAAGTGCTCTGCTCCTATTTGTTCTGAGGGTTTTTATCTGAATGGATGTTTCTTTCTTTTTTTTTCTTCATTAATTGATAGGATCATGTGCTGTTTCTTTTTTAGCCCATTAACATGGAGAATCATACATATAGTTGATTTCAAGTTGAACCAGCCTTGCATCCTGGGAATAACTACTAATGGGGTCACGTTTTATATTCTTTCTATATATTGATACATTCTATTTGCTAATATTTTATTAAGAATTTTTGTATCTGTATTCATGAGGGACATTGGTCTCTAGCTTTCTTTTTTTAATATACTGTCTTTGCCTGATTTTGGTATCTGAGGACTACTTTCATAAAAGAAGTGGTTTGTTGGAATGGACTGCATAGAATTGGTGTTACTTCTTTCAGTGTTTGTTAGAATTCTTTAACAGAACCTCTGGGCCCAGGTGTTGTTTTCTGGAAGTTTTAAATTACAGATTCAATTTCCTTCTTAGTTATAGGGCTATTTCAATTATCTATTTAATACCGGATGAGTTGTGGAATTGTGTTTTTTTAGGAATTGGTCCATTTCATCCAAGTTGTCAAATTTATGTGTGTGGAGTTGTTGTAGTATTCCCATATTATCCTTTTGATGTCTGCAGGGTCTGTAGTGATAAACCTTTTCTCATATTGCTAATTTGTTTCTTTTCTCTTTTTTCTCTGTTAGTCTTGTTAGAGGTTTGTCAATTTTATTGATCTTTTCAAATAACTGGGTTTTAAAAATTGATTGATTTTCCATTTTCAATTTTATTGACTTTTTTCCTTAACATTATTTCCTTCCTTCTGCTGCTTTGGTTACATTCAGCTCTTCTTTTTCTAGATTCTTGAAGTGGGAGCTCAGATTATTTGAGACTTTTTCTAATATATACATTTAATGCTATAAACTTCCCTTTCAGCACTTCTTACCTGTGACCCACAAATTTGGGTGTTACATTTTTATTTTCATTCAGCGCAATGTATTTGTATGTCCCTTGAGACATCCTTTGTGACCTATAAATTATTTATAGTGTATGCTGCTTACTTTCCAAGTGTTAAGAGATTTTCCTGTTTTCTTTCTGCTATTGCTTTCTAATTTGATTCCATGGTAGTAAAAGAATACCTTCCATATGATTTTAATTCTTTTAAATTTGTTGAGATGTGGCTTTCTGGTCCAGCAGAGAGTCTATATTGGTATAAGTTCCATGATCACATGAAAAGAATGTGTGTTCTGCAGCTGTTGGGTAAAGTGTCAATTATAGTCTGTTGGTTACAGATGTTGTTGAGTTTTCTATATCCTTGCTGATTTTGCATCTAGTTTTCTATGGATTGATAAATAGGGGTGTTGAAATCTTCAACTATATTTGTGAATTTGTCTAGTTCTTTTTCAAATCTGTCATTTTTTACTTCATGTATTTTGCAGCTCAGTAATTTAGTACATACACATTTAGAAATGCCATGTCTTTTTGATGGAGTGACTGCTTTATCATTATATAATATTCTTCTCTGTCACTGAAATTTTCTTTGCTCCAAAGTCTATTGTATCTGATGTTAATATAGCAACTTCTGTTTTCTTTTTATTAATGTTTGTATGATATATCTTTATCCATCCTTTTACTTTCAACCTGCCTATATCATTATAATTGAAGATATTTCTTATAGACAGCATATACCTGGGTCTTATTTTTTAATACACTCTGATAATATGTCTTTTAATTGGTGTATTTAGACTGCTTATATTTCATGTAATTAATG